AGCTCTTCTTGGCAACTGATGCCTTGCTCAAGTAAGGTCTTCTTCGTCTGTGGCTCTATGTCCCGAGCCCGGAAGGGTCTTCTTCGTCTAGCCTGCCATCGTAGCTTCAATACGGTACCCCATAGTCATAGGTTAGCTCAACCCGTCTATCCATGATTCGATTAGGAACCTAGGATGCCTTATCCGATTTAAGGATTATCGCGATCTCTATAGTGATGCTGGTTGCCTAGATCCGGAATTGCCGGTTCTATTCTTGGATGCTATCCGTCTTGGCAGTATCTGCCTTCTCTCAGTAGCCATTCCCATCATGTGGCCTGAACGCGCTAGTTTGTGTCAAACATGGACAATCTTAGTCTAGTCAATCTTTTTATGAAGGACTTGGTTCCGCCACTGTGCAAATATGATAGTTTCCTTCCCATCTCCTTGGTAAGTGTCCCAGCAAGCAGCCTTAGGCTTCATATAACCTAGTTTCTCTGCCACGATAGTCTAGTTCCTTACTCGAGTAAGACATATATTGGCCCCATTTGTGGAGGTACCGCTATAGACCCTCCCGGTTCATTCCCTAGTGCTATTAGACTTGTTAGGCTACTCGTTCGGAGCTCCCGAAAGCCTCTTAGGTATGTAGCACACATGCTTGACAGCTGGAAATGCGTAAAATGCGCAAATTCAGGTGTACTTGATTACACGGCTTATCAACGTACAATCTTGCCGTTGGCCGCTCTACTTACTTATGGCTGTCCAGATCGAGCGTGCCTTCAATCAGTACACCACCACCGGAGTCAAGACTCTCAACGGCAGTTTCTCCAGGGAGAGAATCGGCGACTACGTGACAGGTTTTTCCCAGACTGCTCAGCGAGTCGAGGATAGCCGCTGGAACAAGCTTATGCAATGCTGCATTGCCCAGATGCAGATCGACAACGGACACCTCATCAGCGCCTCGGCATCCATGAACGTCAACCGCGCTGCCCTCGCTCTCGGCAGTAGTCCTGTGAAAGGCTCGGACGACGACGACAACGATGACATGTAGACACGGCACGCGCTGCCCTCAACTCAAAATTCACCCCTTTCTTTCTTACACCTGCGGTGTACGCGCCAGCTCATTATCCAGTATATTGTATATATTAGGATTTTACTAGCTACTTTTGACCCTTGCGCCACTTTAATACATTTTGTTTTTGTGGCACTTGTCCGTCCTTGAAGACTTGTCGAGCAAATTCACTGAAAACTTGTTGAAATCTGGACATAGCTTGTCTACTTGTCAGCTTGGCCACTTATTCGCCTTGTACAAGCACGTACAAGCACTGCCAAGTGATCTGTCAAAAACGCGATGCGATGCACCGCATCCGGAGATCTCCGGCTTCTAACTCGTTGTCGAAATTCAACCGTGAAAGGAGCAGTACTTGTAGCAGTCCCTCCTGAGGCTCCTCTACTTTTCTGAGCTCATTAGTAGAGAACTCAAATGCAGAGTGAATAAAAAACAAGTCAATTTTGGAGCTCAGAGCCAGGCCCGAGTCGAACAGGCCCGATCTGCGCAATGAAGGGGAAATCTTTCGCAATTAGTGGAGACGCAGACTCTCTGCTAAGTACTGAGCTTTTATTCTCACCTTCTGAAACTCAGCTCAAAAGAGACATTTTTCGGAACAGAGTGAATAAAAAGGGAATGCGAGATAAATATTATATGGCTCAGGCCTGAGTCGAACAGGCTTTATTCCCAACAGAAGACTGGAAACTTAGACAAGAAGCAGATGTGGACCCTCCACTACTGAGCCTTTCTTCATTTTCTTTCAACTCAGCTCAACTGCTCAACCTGATTTTTCCCCAAGGAAATTACCAAAAATGCAATTCCAACTTCCATGGCTCTGGCCAGAGTCGAACAGGCTTTTTCTGCACAATAACTTTCCTCAGCAAGGGAGGATGAATTGAAGCAGATGTGGATACTTCACTACTGAGCCTTGCTCCACCCCTCTAAACCCCTAAGGGAGCTAGGTGTATTTCCCCCTCCAAAAGAAATGCAATACAAAAATCAATATGCCTCAAGCCCAAGTTGAGCGGGCTCTATCTGCACAATGAAAGTACGCAGAATATCCACTACTGAGCCTTATTATCTAGGATTCTACTTTGGGTGATATGTAGAAGGAATAAAAAATAAAAACTCCAAATGCAAAACTATGACTCAGGCCTGTCGAACAGGCTTTATCTACACAAGAGAGCACCAAAATTTTTGCAAATTGAAAGCAGATGCAGACCCTCTGCTACTAAGCCTCCTTTAATTCTACTAAAGATTGCTATTTCTCCAACACAAGGGTGAATTAAAAAGTTGACACAACAATGCCAGGCTCAGGCCCGAGTCAAACAGGCTTATTCTGTGTTATCGTGGCCTTTCACAATCACCCTATTGAAGGCAGATGCAGACACTCTGCTATCAAGCCTTCCCTTCCTTTATCTAAAACTCACCAGGAGACCAGTATTTTCTTCAAAGCAAGAGTGGATAAAAATATAGACAGGAAAATATGAAGGGCTCAGGCCTGAGTCGAACAGGCTTTGTCTGCAACACAGATGAGAATTCATTATTAAGGGCAGATGCAGACCCTCTGCTACTGAGCCTTCATTGCCTCCCTTCAAACCTCCTTGACCTTAGATCACCATTTCGAGAGGAGAGAAAATAAAAACTGCATTCCACTGTTGAATGGCTCAGGCCTAACTTGAACAGGTTTATTATGCATTATTGCTGCCCACCGTTCTATTGGAGGCAGACACAAATATACTGCTATTGAGCCTTTCTCCCCTTTCATTAAACCCAAGTAAGGATCATTGTTCAGAAGAGTGTGAATCAGAGAGAAAAAAGCAACAGAAATGAAGTATGGTTCAGGCCTGAGTTGAACAGGCATGTTCACATTATCGTGGTTGTCTGTTCTCATGAAGGCAGATGCAGACTCTCTGCTACTGAGCCTTCCTTTCCTCCCTTTGAACTCAAGCTGGCCATTTTCTTCAAATCAAGAATGAATAAAAAAAACTCAAGATTACGGTGGCAGGGCTCAGGCCTGAGTCGAACAGGTGTTGTCTGCAACAGGGGTTACTTTTTTCTTCAGTGAGGGCAGATGCAGACCCTCTGCTTCTGAGCCTTCCTTTCCTCCTTTTGAACCCAAGTAAAGGATCATTGTGGTCTGGAAAAAAAAAGGCAACAAAGATAATGTGGGCCTGAGTCAAATACTTGAACTAGGCTTCATTTGCACAAAAAGACAGAACTTGTTGATTGAAAGTAGATGCAGACCCTCCGCACCTGAGCCTTCCTTGCCCTTTTTCAATGAAGCTCACCATTTTCTTCAAAGCAAGAATGAATAAGAAAACTCAATGCAAAGATCCTAGGGCTTAGGCCTGAGTCGAACAGGCTTTATCTGCATAATGAATGAGAAATTTCTTGTGATAAAAGGAGATGTGGACCATCCACTACTGAGCCTTCCTTTCCTCCCGTTCAACCCAACCAAAGCTTGTCATTTTCTGTAAGACTCCATCCCAGAGACCTCACGGAACGTGCTAACTTCGAACAATGTGTATTGTCAAAGTGCACATAGTGTAAGGTAAAGGGTAAGACTCAAGTATCGTCAACAAATTGTACAGTATTTATGCAGAAGTGTCGGTATGCGGAGGGGTACCAGGCCGGAAATAAATCCCTAACATTTTCTGGGAAGGAGAATGGTTAAAAAAGCCAACAATACATGACCAGGGCTCAGGCCTGAGTTGAACAGGCTTCATCTGCAGCATGGACAGGGTTTTTCCAGTAAGGGCAGAGGTGGATGCTCCACTACTGAGCCTCTCCTGCCTCCCGTTAAACCCAGTTAAACCTTGTCAAAGTGTGAATGAATAAAAAAGATGACCCAACATTGGAAGGGCTCAGGCCTGAGTCAAACAGGCACCATCTGCAACATGGTTGTCTTTTTTCAGTGAGGGTAAATGTGGACCCTCCACTACTGAGCCTTCTTTACCTCCCTTCGAACCCAACTCTGAGATCATTTTTTCAGAGGAGAGTGAAAAAAAGCTAGGAGCAGACTGGCTCAGGCCTGAGTCAAACAGGCTTATTCTGCATTACTGTACCCGCCACTTTATTGTAGGCAGATGCAGACCCTCTGCTACTGAGCCTTCCTTGCCTCTCTTTGAACCCAAATTACTGTTTCTTAAGGGACAGTGAATAAATAAAAATCATAATCTTTACTTGGTATGGCTCAGGTCTGAGTTGAACAGGCTTATTCCAGACTCACACAGTATTCAAGGCAGATGTAGACCTTCTGCTACCAAGCCTTTCTTACCTCCCTTCAAACCTAGCCAAGACATCATTTTTTTAGAAGAGTGTGAATAAAAAAGGAATGGAAGGGGAATGGCTCAGGCCTGAGTTGAACAGGCTTATTCTGCATTACTGTACCCGCCACTTTATTGTAGGCAGATGCAGACCCTCTGCCACTGAGCCTTTCTTATTTCCCTTTGAACCCAACTAAGAGACCATTTTTCAGAAGAATGTGAAGAAAAATGTGTCTCACTTGCTACACCGGATGGCTCAGGCCTGAGTTGAACAGGCTTTGTCTACAACATGATATGGGTTCAATCGTTCTCAATGGAAGCAGATGCAGACCCTCTGCTACTGAGCCTTCTCTACCTTCCTTTTGAACCCAAGTAAGAGCCAATACTTCAGAAGAATACAAATAAAAAACTAAAAAACTAAATATCCATGGCTCAGGCCCGAGTTGAACAGGCATTAAATGATCTGCACAATTATAAAAACATCCCCTGCATTGAAGGCAGACGCAGACCATCTGCTACCAAGCCTCTCTTGCCTCCTGTTCAACCCAACCAAAGCTTGTTATTTTCTTCTCAAAATGAGAACAAACTAGCAGGAACCCGTGCTCCGCACGGTCAGTGGAGCAAGATTCAGGATGTAATGAACAAAATGAATGAAAAAAGAAAATCAAGAAGGATTCAGCTCAACCTGGGATGCTCGTCACCAACCTACGGTTGGTTCCTCGTGTCCCTATGTGCAATGTGCATGATCCGGATTCCCATCATCAGATAAGGGAGCTAGGGCTCACATTAAGCATGCTCCCTGTGGCCACCTCAGCACACTAATGAGCATGGTCATGGCATAAAATCCACTGGTAGAATAAATGGTGGACATTCGTCACCAACCTACAGTTGGTTCCCGTGTCCAGTTTCCATTGTTACAAAATGATTGAATAGATACAGTATTTACAGGTGTTGAGGAGCCATTGATTCATTTGCAGGTCTGTTTCAGACTCCAAAGACTGCTCAGACACTAAGGAAGCTGAAGGCATTTACCAGGGTCACAGAGAAGTGAGTCGTTATCAGCCTGAATCTGGATTTTAGGTCCAAGAGCCATTGAACAACTTCATTAACAGTGATAACCTGAGGCTCTATATATCATCCCGAATATTCGAGCGGCTGAAATCAATGGAATACTTAGCAGCTGAATAATAACTCACACCCGTGGGTGACCTGTGCACAACATAAAACCTATGGCTGTTCGCCGTTGTGAGGGCTGTATGCGCTCTGCGCATGCCCTCTCGTTCCACGGCGGCTCAGGTCAACGGCGACGAACTTCCTTCTTACGATAAACCCTTATTCGGCAATTTGGTTGCCACTTTCGGAACGACACTCGCTAACGTTGAGCATCGATATTCAAGGAAATAATGGTACTCACAAGGCTTCGACGGCGAACGACGGCACCCTACTAGCCTTGATGCTCTTTGTACCAACGGATACAACTACTAAACTATCAAATCTATTCACCACCGCCGATCTGGACAGATCTGGACCTCTGGGACGAGCCTCGCCGACGAACGAAGACACCATATCCACCATATCCTTTCACAAACCTTTTCCCCCAGTACCTATCATGTACAACAAACGTCAATCGCCTCGAACGAGCATTATCACCTTGTGTCCTAAAAATATTAAACAACCAGCAGCGCGCCGACCATGGGCGAGCATGCTACCTGGCAGGACGTACGGGTCGGAACTTAATTGGGATTTAAACCCGACAGTCCGACAACTCGTGGGATAATTGTCCTAAATCTGGTTTTCAACACTCTCTCAATGGCGAACAATACAATATTTCGCGGGCGAAAGGATGCTGGAATCGTTTTGGGGAAGAAACTCTCACAGGCAAGTGTTTCACTCAAACACGAGGCTGATGGGGGAAAAGGTATAAAAAGCGGACAATTTAGCGTACTTAGGCATCGAGTTTCCGGGGGTTCAGATCCCTCCCACTTGTACACAAGTGCTCTTACATCCCACAAATCGAGAAATTGATCACACCCTTGCACCTACTTGTCTCAGGACACTTTACTCACTCCCTCCCTTGCAGCTTAAGTCATCTAAGCTTGCGCTCATATAGCTCGCCCTCGAACTTCGCACACCTTCCCACACGGAAACACCTCCTGTAGCGGTGGGAACGAAGCCTCGAGGATATTTTGGCAAATCGTCAACGCCTGAACGGCCACAACCTCTTATATTCCGAGAAGTTCGTTGCCGAAATTCCGTCGACGTTGAAGTCGTCCACGAACCAACCCCTTGGAAGGATTCGCCGACTCGATCACGTGCCCCAACGATCAAAGGAGGAAGGCACATCGTTCGATCGAAGTAGAAGGCTTCGCAGATAGTTCGAAGGGACAAGTTCGCGAACGAGTACATTCCAGTTCTTTCCCCCATTTTGCTAACTTTAACAGAACCTACTGGACCCGCCGCACTACCTCTGCATCAACAAATGTCCCCTTGTTCGGAACCTCACAACCAAACCCCCTAGAGGCTGGACAAGCTTACCACCTGAGCATCATCCCGTTCACGTCGTAGCGTCGCGGTCCTTATCACACCGTGACCGTGTCCATGGTTCCACGGCACCCGTGCCATGGGTCACGGTGCTGTGCCCGTTCTGTAGGGTATTTTCTCTGGAGGTCAACGGCACGGTCATGGCATGGGTTTCCGCCTCCACGGCCATCACAGCCATGCAAGGCTGACTTGTCTCTGCCATGAGAATGGAGTACTTCTGGATATGTAATGCTTAAGATGTCCCGGTGGACCTACTGGAAACCTCCTTGGTGTATTATAACATATTTACTCTACCGAAATCCCAAGATTTCAGTCAAGTTGCATCGATTTCGGCAATACCCGAGAATGATGGCAGAGTTTCATCCATGTCTTCTTCAATGATTCGTTGCATCGCAGTGAATTGGAGCCATCACGTAGCATTTTGAAAAGAGAAAGTTAGGTCATACATAAGTCTTCTAGAAGTCCTGCTGCATGGAAATTACTTTATTGATTTGTTACAGACTTCCAATATTACAGCTAACCAACAGCTCCGAGACATTGCCAATGAACGGATGGATTGAATTCAGATGAGGAGACTAAGACTTTGGGACTGGGCACCGTCGGGTCAATTGATGGCAATTATATAAGTGGACAGCCACAGCGAAATCACGCCGAGAGTACCTTTGGCTAAGGGAAACAGTTGGTGCTCATCGGAGCTCAAACAAAGGACACTTCTATGCTATTAGAGACTAATTTATGCAACAGAAGTCTGTGATGGATGAAAGCAGTCAGCGCTGGGCTTAAATGCATGATTTGAAGTGAATGTCACACATTTGTGACTACCCGTCACCACTGCGATCGTGCTGCATGGCAACACGTTTTGACGCTGATGCCGAGGTCGGCCGACCAAAGCTCGGAGGCCAAAAATCTTTTAACCTGTGTATCTACAAGATGTAGCGGGGAATTCTGAATCCCTTCAAAATTAGGCTTGTTCTTGATATGAAGTCATACTTAAAGTTTGAATTTTAAAAATCCCTGTCTACATCTTGTAGATATGAACATTTAAATGATTTTGACTTCCAAGCTTTGGCGGGCCGATGTTGGTACCGTCTCAAAAACGTGCGGCACATCGGTATCTGATTTTGGCAGGGCGGCTTGGTATCATAAAACAAACAAATACTCAACAACAACTACTGGCCGTGCCCAGTCCCATGAGGAGAAAATTTAACGGCCGTGCTGCTGACCATGCCGTACCATCAGAGATTTTGCCAACCACTCCACGGGCGGTGTAAAAGCCATCAATTCGATGGCCATCCAGTGCAGTTTAAATAAATCCATGAGAATATTGTCCCACACCTGTGGGGCATCAATTTTATTGAGTCAGATATGATACATTGGAGGTTCAAAAGCAGTCAAGAATCTACTCAGAGGACATTCAAAATCAGCACTGGCTCTCAAAAAAAAAATGAGAGCAGTTCAAATTATCACTTACTTTTTCGACCCATTGTACCTGCTTCCCATGGTAAAAAATCAGAGAAGTCGTCGTATCTAATTCCTGAGTTCCTGAATCCAAGTTGTATTACTCTGACAGAGTCAAAGGGCGAGCATAGGAGGTTGAGGAAAGACGTGGGAGAAGAGAGCACAGCCATCTGATTGCCGTTTGTCTCCAATGTTTGTCTCGAGACAAAGATCACATGATCCATGTCTTTTGTATAATAGATAAAAAGTCAACACTACATGACCAGGGCTCAGGCCCGAATCGAACAGGCTTTGTCTAAAACATTGATGACATCTTTTCAATGGAAGCAGATGTGGGCCACCCACTACTGAGCCTTCTTTACCTTCCTTTTGTACCCAAGTAAGAGCCAATATTTCAGAAGAATTCAAATAAATAAAAAACCAAAAAAAAGAGATATCCATGGCTCAGGCCTGAGTCGAACATCAGCCTTCTGACATTTTGATTGTCACGTTGATGGCGTTGTTTTGCGTTGTCGCGTTGTTCACAACGCACAACCCCACAACCCCACAACTCGATTTACGGGATGAAAAGGACTACATCTTTCAGATTTTAATACAAGTTTAATATGCTAAAACTTCGTGCGTATAATGGCACCACCCGAGCGCACACCGTACTTTCTCTCAAAACACGAAGGAAGAAAAATAACATCACGCACCCGACGATGATCCAGCCCATAACCCGCCCTCCCACATTGACAAGGATAGTATCCCCGCCATGCGTAGCCGTACCAGCGGGCGGGGAATTGATCGGATGCGCTGGATGCGCCCGCGGTACATCCTTCGTGCGCTAAGACCACTTGGCGCTGGAAGTGCGCGACAGCGGAGTGCTGCGCAGTGATAGGGCATCGAAGTTGGTACGACTGAACCAGAGGAGGACGGGCTGACCGACATGAGCAGCGAGGGCTTGGATATCCTGGTTCTAAATAGACCGTTAATAGAGCACAGCAAGAATGGAGAGGGGACGCATGCGGCGTCGGTGCCAATTCGATGTCAAATAACGAGCCCGGCATATGCGGGACTCCGTCGTCATGCTTGTTGTCATTGTTGGCCGCAGCCGCGGGAATGGAATGAGAAAGGCGGGGAGCAGGGTGATGGGCGGAGGAGGACAAGGGACGGGGATGGGGGGCCATGAATGAAGAGAAGAAAAGGTCGCAGGAGCGGGCCGTTGACGTTGTCGCGTTGTCAGACATTGTGGCATTGTTTGCCTGATTTCCGAGCCGCGTTGGGCAAAAATTATCAAAAATTGTTGGCGTTGTCCGTTGCCGCATTTTGGCGCGTTGTCACGCGTTTTTTGGCGTTGTTTGGCATTGCACAACCCCACAATCAGATTGTCAAAAGTCTGATGAACAGGCTTATTCTGCATTATAAAAGGCTCTCCTCTCTATCAAAGGCAGATGCAGACCCTCTGCTACTGAGCCTTCCTTACCTCCCTACAAACCCAACCAAGAGAACAGACGGAGAGTAAAGAGAATTGGAACAAAAGATTATGGGAAGCATTCGCAAATGGCTCAGGCCCGAGTTGAACAGGCTTTGTCTACAACATGAATATGATATAGATTACACTCTCAATAGAAGCAGATGTGGACCATCCACTACTGAGCCTCTCTTACCTCTCTTAAACCCTGATTAAGATTCTATTTTCCTCAAAGGAGAGTGAAAAAAACATGCATCCCTGTGTCATATGGCTCAGGCCTGAGTCGAACAGGCATCTGCACCATCAGAAAGGAGTCCCTGCATTGAAGTAGATGCAGACCCTCTGCTACTGAGCCTCTATAACCTCCTGTTCAACCCAACTAAAGCTTGTTATTTTCTTCTCAAAATGAGAACAAATAAAAAGTCAACACTACATGACCAGGGCTCAGGCCTGAGTCGAACAGGCTTTGTCTACAACATGATATGGGTTCAATCGTTCTCAATGGAAGCAGATGCAGACCCTCCACTACTGAGCCTTTCTTACCTCCCTTTGAAACTAACTAAGAGACCATTTGTCGGAAGAGTGTGGATAAAAGTTTTGTTCTGTAGTGTATCACTAATGGCTCAGGCCTGAGTTGAACAGGCATTGTCTGCAACAGCAATTTGCCTTCTTTTCAGTAAGGGCATTGTGTACCCTCTGGTATTGAGCACTTAAGCCTTTATTCTCTTCTTCTGAAACTCAGTCCAAAAGAGATGTTTTGCGAGCAGAGTGAATAAAAATGCACGTTGAGAATACAGCATGGCTCAGGTCTGAGCTGAACAGGCTTATTCTGTAGTATCATGGGCTTTTTCTTCTATATTGAAGGCAGATGCAAAATCTCCACTACTGAGCCTCTTTTACCTCCTTTTGAAAACAACTAAGAGAATATTTTTTCAGAGGAGAGTGAAAAAAAAGCTAGGAGAAGAATGGCTCAGGCCTAGGTCAAACAGGCTTGTTCTGCATTATTCCTGATTTGTGCAGTATCTAAAGCAGATGTGGACCCTCTGCTACTGATCCTTCATTTCCTCCTTGCCAACCTGTTTAACTCAAGATTACCATTTCTCAGAGGAGAGAAAATAAAAGATGCGGCCATTTTTGGAATGGCTCAGGCCTGAGTTGAACAGGCTTATTCTGCATTACTGTACCCGCCACTTTATTGTAGGCAGATGCAGACCCTCTGCTACTGAGCCTTTCTTACATCCCTTTGAACCCAATTAAGAGCCAATATTTCAGAAGAATGTGGAGAAAAAGTAACTCAAGCAGTATGGCTCGGGCCTGAGTCGCACAGGCATTATCTGCACAGTAAAGAACAAATCCTTGGAATGAAAGCAGATGCAGACCTTCACTACTGAGCCTCTTTTACCTACTTTTGAACTCAAGTAAGAGCCAATATTTCAGAAGAATTCAAATAAAATAAAAATAAAAAACCAAAACGTGGCTCAGGCCCGAGTCGAATAGGCATTATCTGCACAATTAGAAAGGATGCCCCTGCAGCGAAGGCAGACACAGACTCTCTGCTACTGAGCCTCTCTTACCTCCATTTGAAACTAACTAAGAGATCATTTCTCAAAGGAGAGTGAAAAAAAAGTCAACATTACCATGCCAGGGCTCAGGCCCGAATCGAACAGGCTTTGTCTACAACATTGATGACATTTTTTCAATGGAAGCAGATGTGGGCCACCCACTACTGAGCCTTTCTTACCTTCCTTTTAAACCAAATTTCTCAGAAGAATGTGAATAAAAAATGTGTCCTTGGAATCCCCGAGGCTCAGGCCTGAGTTGAACAGGCTTTGTCTACCACATCGATATGAGATAGACTTGATCACAATGGAAGCAGATGCAGACCCTCTGCTACTGAGCCTTCCTTGTCTCTCTTTGAACCTAATTTAGATAGTTTTCTTCATAGTGAGTGCGAATAAAAAATCCACTGGCTTTATCTCGGCAGATGGCTCAGGCCCGAGTCGAACAGGCTTATTCTGCATTACTATGACTTTTCCCTTTTATTGAAGGCAGATGCAGACCCTCTGCTACTGAGCCTTCCTTACCTACCTTTGAAACCAACTAAGGCACCAATTTTCAGAGCAAGAGTGGATAAAAAATGTAGACAGGAAAATACAAAGGGCTCAGGCCTGAGTCAAACAGGCATTAAATTATCTGCACAATTATCAAAACATCCCCTGCATTGAAGGCAGATGCAGACCATCTGCTACTGAGCCTTTCTTACCTTCCTCTTGAACCAAGTAAGAGAGCATATTTCAGAAGAATTCAAATAAAATAAAAAACTAAAAAAGAAATATTAATGGCTCAGGCCCAAGTCGAACAGGCATTATCTGCACAATTAGAAAGGAGTCCCTGCATTGAAGGCAGATGCAGACCTTCTGCTACTGAGCCTTCCTTCCCTTCCTTCAAACCCAACTCAGAATCCATATTTCAGAAAAATTTAAACAATAAAAAAGGAAGGAAATCCATGGCTCAGGCCCGAGTCGAACAGGCTCCATCTACAGTATGGATTGACTCCTGGATCAATGGAAGCAGATGTGGACCACCCACTACTAAGCCTTCCTTCCCTTCCTTCAAACCCAACTAAGAGATCATCTTTTCAGAATAATTAGAATAAAAAATGTGTCCTCGGAATCCCCGATGGCTCAGGCCCGAGTCGAACAGGCATTATCTGCACAATCAGAAAGAAATCCTATGCATTGAAAGCAGATGAAGATCCTCTGCCACTGAGCCTTTCTTACCTTCCTTTTAAACCAAATTTCTCAGAAAAATGTGAATAAAAAATATGTCTCGTTCTACTCCGGATGGCTCAGGCCCGAGTCAAACAGGCTTTGTCTACAACATGAATATGATATAGATTACACTCTCAATGGAAGGAGATGTGGACCACCCACTACTGAGCCTCTTTTACCTCCCTACAAACCCAACCAAGAGATCATCTTTTCAGAATAATTAGAATAAAAAATGTGTTCTTGGGATCCCGGATGGCTCAGGCCTGAGTCGAACAGGCTTTGTCTACAGTATGGATTGACTGCTGAATCAATGGAAGCAGATGTGGGCCACCCACTACTGAGCCTCTTTTAACTCCCTTCAAACCTAGCCAAGAGATCATTTTTTCAGAAGAATTTAAACAACAACAAAAAGAGAAGGAGAGACCTGTATGGCTCAGGCCTGAGTCAAACAGGCTTATTCTGTATTATCCAGACTTTTCCCCTTTATTGAAGGCAGATGCAGACCTTCTGCTACTTACCTCCCTTTGAACCCAAGTAAGAGACTATTTTTCAGAAGAATACAAATAAAAATCAAAAAAAAAGAGATATCTATTATAGCTCATGCCTGAGTCGAACAGGCTGTGTCTACAACATGATATGGGTTCAATCACTCTCAATGGAAGCAGATGCAGACCCTCTGCTACTGAGCCTCCCTTCCCTCCCTACAAACCTAGCCAAGAGACCATTTTTCCGAAGAATTTAAACAACAACAAAAAAAGAAAGGGAAAAATCCACAGTGGCTCAGGCCCGAGTCAAACAGGCTTTGTCTACAGCATGGATATGATATAGACTCCATTCTCAATGGAAGCAGATGTGGACCACCCACTACTGAGCCTTCCTTTCTTACCTTCCTCTTGACCCAAGTAAGAGAGCATATTTCAGAAGAATGCAAATAAAATAAAAAACTAAAAAAGAATGAAAGGGGAATGCCTCAGGCCTGAGTCGAACAGGCATTAACTGCATAAGAACTTGAAGGAAGAGCTTCATTAATTGAAGCAGATGTGGACCACTCACTACTGAGCCTTTCTTACATCCCTTTGAAACCAATTAAGAGATCATCTTTTCAGAAGAATGTGAATAAAAAATGTGTTCTTGGGATCCCGGATGGCTCAGGCCTGAGTCGAACAGGCTTTGTCTACAGTATGTAGTGACTTCTGAATCACTGGAAGCAGATGTGGACCACCCACTACTGAGCCTTCCTTACCTCTTCAAACCCAAGAGATTATATTTCAGAATAATTAGAATAAAAAATGTGTCCTCGGAATCCCAGATGGCTCAGGCCCGAGTCGAACAGGCTTTGTCTACAATATGGATTGACTGCTGAATCAATGGAAGCAGATGTGGACCACCCACTACTGAGCCTTCCTTACATCCCTACAAACCTAGCTAAGAGATCATTTTTTCAGAAGAGTGTGAATAAAAGGAGGCTATGTATGGCTCAGGCTTTATGTGGATTCTGAATCAGAAATGATGGTAGTAGATGCGGATCTTCCGCTACTTTCCTCTTCCTGGAAGCTGCTAACCACTGGAATGACTGGAAATGAGCTCTGAAACGTACAAGAGAACCGTTCGAGCGGACGCTCGGGTCCGCAGTCCCAATCTACTAGTACATGTATTACCTCGCCCATTTTTAAGTTAAAGTTGATCTCGAAGTCGATCAAATCAGCTGATGTGGAGCGGACGGAGATCAAATTTCATGTTGGATTTAGCCGACGCGCTAGGAGGCTGTCAGATGTCAGAATTTACCTCCGGATGAGCGATTGCGATGGGTGATGGATGGCGGAATTGATGGGCTGGTGGGGAGATGAAAGCATAGAATAGAAGGCGCGGGGAAGGGGAAGGGATGAAGGGAAGACGGGAAGAAGGGAGATGAGATTGTTGCCATGGGCGGGGTTGAGTGAAGATGGATGGAATGCGGGGGGATGGATGGAATGTTGGGTGCGATTGCTCGCTGTGAATGAGGAATATGAGACCAAGAGACTCTTGGTCTAGAGCCCAAGACAAAGGCGGGCTCGCATGAGAAGGTGATTGCAAAGATAGAATAGCGTTGAAGGCGGGGATTGACCGGAACACGAGGCACCCGCATCGCTCGGCAGCTGGCTAAACCCAAATAGGAAGGCGGCTGTCTATTGCACAGAACCTTCCAAGTTCTCCCCAACCTTCAAGACGACGACGACGACGACGACGAAACGAGATGCACCCCCAGGACGCAGACGACCCCCTCGCCGAGCACGGGCTGAGACACGATCCCGCGCTGCTCGCGGCGCTGCCGACGCTGCCCTGTGCCACTGGGAAGCCCATCAATGTCTACGAGAACGGGCCCATTGGGATTAATGGGACGACCGGGAATGCCAATGCGAACGGGCACGGGCACGGGCAGGGGAAGATCAGGCTCCTCAGCGCCGCGCAGTTCGCCGCGATGCACACGGCGCACATCGTCGCGCACCCGCCGGACGGGGTGCTCTTCCCCTTCCTGCACGGGCTCGAGGGCGACAACCACGCGCAGAATACGTTCTTTGCGGCGCAGGGGCCGCGGCGGGCGCCGCGCTTCCGGGGGCTCGTGTGGGTTGTCGCGGAGGAGGAGGACGGGGGTGGGAGCGGGAGCGGGATTAATGCGCACGCGGAGAGCGAGGACGAGGAGGAGGAGGAAGAGGAGGAGTACTCGGACGAGGAGGACGAGCTGGAGGACGAGCTGGAGGAGGAGGGGGGGCGCGGGATGGGGATGGACGTGGACGGCGCGCGGATCGTCAGGGGCGACGACGAGCCCGAGGGCGGGGCTATGCTCGAGGATGGCGACGGGGCGGAGAAGCACATGCACCCCGTCGCACACCGCGCCCTCGTCCCCCCGCTCCAGACCGCGGGGCTCCCCCTCGGCACACCCAGCACCGCAGGCACGTCCTGCACCGACGAGGAGTATTTGCCTGCCCAGGATGTGCCGATGCAGATGTGAGTTTCCTTTCTCTTGCCTCGAGCGGGCTGGTGGACTCGCCGAACCTGCTGGCGTGCGCTGTACGGCCGTCGTTCTGCGCACGATATCATGTACGGTGCTCGTGTGCCACCCTTCCCAATCCCTTCTGTTCATTCATTCATCCATCCATCACCTGCATGCATCCCCTTCCTCCCCCTCCCCCAGCTCACCACCTTCCCCCCTCGAACATCTTTCTGTCATCCCCCGTCAGCTCGTCTCCCCCGTACCCACCGCTAACCCACATACACCCAGCGCCCTCCCCCCGCCCTCCACGCCCCCGCCCCCTCCCCCTTCCCTGCCTACTTCTTCCCCTGCTTCCCCTCCCACCACGTCCACATCGACATCCACACCACCACCCGCCGCCCTCGACGCGCAAACCACAAGCACCAGCGGAAGCGCCCAAGCACCTGGAACCGCACAAGCAACAAGAGAAAAAAATCACGCCGCCGCCGCCGCCGCCGACGCAGGCCCCACACTCCTAACGTGCACCTTCCGCGCGCGCGACCTGTTGAGGAAGGTGACGGGCGGGGAGGTGCGTTCCTTTCCTTCTTTTTCTTTCTTTCTTTCTGTGGCTTTTGTTTCCTTTTTTTTTCTTGCGTTCCCTTCTTTTTGTGGCTTTTGGAGTATCTCGTTTCGTTTCGTGGGTCTGGACTCCTCCACCCCACCCGAGATACTCGCGGAGCTGTTTCTCCTCGCAGCACTGGGTGTCTATCCGGGCACGCATTCTCTTCCCTGCGCATGGGCTGTCGGACTCTTGTCCTGTCTTCTCTTGGCGCTTCGTGGGCCAGACGGCCGGGCGATTTACGCCGTGGCGTGCACCCGCGCCTACCTACCTACCTACCCTCCCGCGCGTCTGGTGCGCGCGAGGCGGCGGTGCTGTAGCGGTGCGATGCGGGCGCGTTCTATTCTTTATTATTTATTCTTCGCACTTCTCGTTCTGTTCTTTATTCTTCGCGCTTCTCCTTCGGGGAGTGCGCTTTGAGGATTCCGTTGGGTTGGGTTGGGGTGGATGGTGGGTCGGTGGGTGGGCGCGGGCGGCGTCGTTTGTTTATTCGTGTCCGGGAGGCGGGGAAGTGGGGGTGGCGTAATTATGCGCGTGATACCACTTTGCGGAGGGAGGATTTGCGCGGTGTTGCCCTGCGCTGCGTACTCTGAGCGCGGCGGTGGCGGTGGCGTTGTGCACAAAGCGGCGGACGCCCTTCCCTCCTTCCTTCTGCTGGGGAGGGCGCAAGCCCATGTACCTCGCTCGTCGGTGTATCGCATGCGTCCTTTCCCTATTATACTTACTTACTTGCTCCTCGCTCCATTCTCCTTGCGCCCTTCTTCCCCGCCTTTGCGTTTCCATTCCACGTTTCGCCATCTCCTCTCCTCTTACTATTCGACACTTCCGATTTCTCTTCTTCGTCTCCTCCCTTTCCTCTGCTGTCACGAACGAATACTAACCTAGCGCCTTCCTTTCCTTTCCTTATCTAGCGCCCCCCGCTCAAGCATGCGGCCCCGCTCCCGCTCCCGGTCGCTGGCAACATCGCCACCGGCAACACGCCGCATATTACGCTCAATGCTAGTAACAACGCGGGCGACGGCGCGGACAACGACGCCTCGAACGACGAGGACGAAGACGGGTGGGAGTTCTGCCCCGCACGCGTGCCGGATGGGATTTCGTTGAGGAATTTTGGGATTCAGGTTGTGAGTGTTTTAATTTTTTTTTGGGCTGTGTGTTTTTTGGGGGTGTTTGGAGTGGAGGGGACGATTTTTTCGAGAATGACGCGACGGTGGCTTGATTTGCGTCGGGGTGCGAGGGAGGGCGAGCGGGCGGGCGGATTTGCCTAGGGGAGGGAGGGCGTATCTTCATGCTCTCTGTTTCCTTCCGTTTTCCGCGTTTGGAGGAGAAGGATGGAGGCGGAGGCGGAGGAAGCGAGGACGAGGCCCTCATTTCTGCCCTCGTTCCTGCCACTTTCTGCGAAATCTCTACTTACAATGCTTCCGCTAACATT